ATACATTGCTATGAGAATGTAGAATGGTATCATCATTTTGGAAAATAGTTAGCAATTTCCTAGTAAGTTGAACATACACCTACTGTATGACCTAACCATTACACCTTAGGTGTTTATGCAGGAGAAATGAAAACACATTTCCACACAAAGACGTATACTTGAATGTTCATAGCAGCATTATTCAAAGTTGCCCCAAAGCATAAACAAACCAAATGTTCACTAACAGGTAAATGGATAAAGAAAACCAGATACAGCCAACAATGGAATACTACTCAGTAACAACAAAAGAGGTACTATCATTTACACAAAGCAACATAGATGAATCTCAGAATAATTATGCTGAGTGAGAGAAACCAGACCAAAAGTACATACTATATGATTCTCTTTATGGAAGTCTAGAAAATATAAATTAATCCACAGTGATAGAGAACAGATTGGTGACCACCTGGGGTGGGTAAGGGAGGGCAGGAGGAAGGGAATACAAAAGGACACAAGCAAACTTTGGGGGGTGACAGGTATGTTCATTATCTTGAATGTGGTAGTGCTTTCACAGGTGTATAAATATGTCAAAGCCTACCAAATTGTACACTTTAAATATGTGCAGTTTATTATGTCATTATACCTCAATAAAACTGTTTTGAAATTGTAGTATAAAGTCTCTGTCTAGAAAGTTTAATAAGCTAAAATGCATATCCCTAGGCACTAACCCTGGTGGAACCACTAACCCTGGTAGAACCCAGAAATCTGCATTTGTGACAAGCCCTTCAAATAATTATAATGCAAGTGTAGTCCCTAAACCACCATTTGAGAAACACTGTTCCAGGGAGTCAGGATTTCTAGAACAATCTTGTGACTAGAATGTTGTTTCTGGAAAAACAAGAAACTTTTTCCACTAAAGTTGCCATACCTTTCTGTGTTAAGCCTCTAGGGCACTCCTACTCAAGTACCATAACATATATTTAACATAGTATTAACAGTTCAAAACCACAAGTAAATCATAATTTCTTCCTAACTTACTTTGACACAAAATAAAATCAACTCTATAATCTTGTTACTATTCCTGGCAGAGGCCTACAGTTTAAATCAAGAACTTATGTCCCTTGGTTCTTATGACAGAAAACTAATGTGCTGGTTTTCCAGTTACGCTTCTTAGTTTATCTTTTCCCACACTTTACGAATGCACGCCTACCCCTGCAACTGCTGACTGGCTGATGATCAGAGAAGACAAAGAAAGAATGTGAAATGGTTGCATTCCTGCTAAGACTCTGGAGGAAAAAAATTCATCTTTTCATTTTTATATATTTTTTCTTGCCAAACAACTGAACCATTACCAGTATAAATGATAAGAGCTTGATTTCCCATGTGAGACTGGCATTTCCTAACCATAGCAGCATTACCTGAAATGAGTATTAGAACTTAATTGATAAAGCTTGGTAAGGATTTTCCCACCAAACATCCCTACTGTTATAAAAATTAATTGAAAAAACACAAATATAAAAGGGTAAAGCCTGCTTAAAGATGACTTTTAATTATTAAAAGGAGTATAGTGGGTAACATCAGTGAAATGCTGAAAAAACACTAAAAAATTCTCTCCTTCATGAAAACATGGAAAAAATTGGCAAAAATTGTTAGAAACAATTTTCTTCAGAACACTGGAAATTAAATGGATTTATAGCAGTCTGGAGAGCATTTATTAAAGAAAAATTATTACATCTCAGTATGAACAGTGAACTTTGAGGCATTTTAATTTGCCCTATTCCTATCCTCCCGCTCCTTGGTGGGAGACTTGGAAACCAGCAGCCTGCGATGATGGTGAAATTGGCTGTCTGGCAGCCATGGCTGGGGGCAGACAGGGAGGGAGCTCCTGCAATGCCTCATCCCCAAAGAATTGTCATTATTTGACCCGACCAGGGCTTCCTTGGTATTCCAAGGCTTTCTTTATTAGACTTGACTTAGACCTTACCCAGTGTGAAGTCTTTTCCTCAGAGACATTTGCAGAAAATGACTAGAGGCAATTGTTTAATTTCATGGTTGCCTAAGGGACTGAATAATAGTTGGGGCAAAAATGAGCTAATCAAAAAGTTTTAAATGAAAAGCTTTGGAATGAGATGTTCATAGGGGCTTAGAAAAACTGCAAAATATTTGTAAGAATCTAGAAAGCCATGCACACACATCGTGTGGGCATGCTCAGGAAAGAGCTGAGAAGGCCCTGTGCTGTCACCTCTGGTTGATCTTGATGCTGAAGTGAAGGCTAAGGAGGAATTGTCAATTGCCTGGCTGAGGGCTGAAGGTGTGCCCCAATGTGCACACAGAGCCCCTTGGCAAAGACTGGAAGATTTACTGTTATCAGGTACTTAAGGAAATCTCTGTCCTGTCATCAGCTGACCACTGAATTAACTGAGCAGAGACTTCAATGGCCACATAGATAATGAATACAGACTTTACTGAATGAGTTTAGAAAAGTCACTAAACAAAGAAACAACAACAAACAGCAAAAACAACAAATACAGGGAAGGGAGGAGAATTTGATTTCCAGAGTTGCCATATTATGTTATTTAAAATGTCCAGTTTTCAAAAGAAAATTATGAGATATGCAAAGAAATAAGAAAATATGGCTGGTACACAAGAAAAAAAGTCAACAGAAATTGGTTTTACTAGACTAAAACTTTAAATCAGCTATTTTTTAAATGTTCAGAGTTAAAGGAAATCATGTTTAAAGAACAAAAGGAAAGCACAAGAACATACTCTTATTAAATAGAGAATTTTTTTAAAGTACCAAGTAGAAATTCTAGAGTTGAAAAGTATAATAATTGAAGTGAAAAATTCACTAGAGTTGCTCAATAGCAGATTTGAACAGGCCAAAGAAAGAATCAGAGAACTTAGATATAGGTCAATTGAAACTATCCAGTTTGAGGAAGAAAAAGAAGAATGAATGAAGAAAAGATGAGCAGATGCTCAGAGACCTGTGAGACACCATCAAGCATACCAACTATGTATAATGGGAGTCTCAGGAAGAGAAGAGAAAGACAAATGGACTGAAAGAATAAAGAAATAATGGCTGAAGTCTTCCCAAATTTGATGAAAAACATTAATCTATACATTCAAAAAAGTTTACAAACTCCAAGATACATGAATTCAAAGAGAGCTACACCTAGACATATAATAATCAAACTATCAAAAGACAAAGAATCTTGAAAGCAACAAGCACATAAAAGGAATTTTCAATAAGATTAACAGCTTATTTCTCATCAGAAACCACAAAATCCAGAAGGCAGTGGGATGACATATTCAAAGTGCTTAAAGGAAAAGACTGTCAGCCAAGAATTCTGTATCTAAGGCCGATTTATTTTCCACAAGGATCCAAGACCATTCAATGGAGGAAAGAATAGTCTTTTCAACCAATGGCTCTGGGACAACAGATATCCACATGTAAAAGAGTGAACTTGGACCCCTAATTCACATCATACACAAAAATTAACTCAAAACGAATCAAAGATCTGCATGAAAGAGTTAAAACTATAAATTCTTAGAAGAAAGCATAGGTGTAAATGGTCTTGACCTTGGATTGGGCAATGCTTTCTTAGATAAGAAACCAAAGATAAGAAAAGATAAGAAGATAAGAAACCAAAAGAAAAATAAATAAACTGGACTTCATCAAAAGGAAAAACATTTGTGCCTCACCTCCAACAAAGTAAAAAGACAATGCATGAAATAGGAAAAATATACTTGCAAATCATGTATCTGATAAGAGTCTAATATCCAGAATATATAAATAACTCTTACTATTTAACCATAAAATGGCAAGCCAATTTAAAAATGGGCAAAGGAGTTGAATAGACATTCTCCAAAGAAGATATACTAATGGCCAATAAGCATATGAAAAGATGCTCAACATCACTAATCATGAGGGAAATGCAAATCAAAACCATTGCTACACATCCACCAGGATGGCAATAATAAATAACAAGTGTTGGGGAGGAAGTGGAAAACACAGAACACTCATACACTGTGTGAATGTGAAATGGCATAGCTTTGGAAAACAATTTGGAAGTTCTTCAGAAAGTTAACATATAATTATCACATGGCCTAGCAATTCCACTTACATATATCCAAGAAAATTGGAAATAAAGAGTCACAAAAACACTTGTATACAAATATCCATAGCAGCATTATTTACAATATCTAAAAAGCAAAACAACTCAAATATTTATCAACTGATGAATGGATAAACAAATATGGTAGATCTATACAATGGACTATTATTTAGCCATTAAAAGGTACAAAGTACTGACACATGCTACAAAATGAATAAAATTTGAAAAAATTATGCTAAGTGAAAGAAGCTTGAAAGGGTGACATTTTATATGATTCCATTTATATACAATGCCTAGAACAGGAAAATTAAATAGCGACAGAAAGTATACTAGCAATTGCTAGGGGCTGGGGAGAAAGGAAAGATGCAGAGTAACTGCTAATTGGTGCAGGACTTTTTTTAGAGGCAGGTTATGAAAATGTTCTAAAATTAGAATTATAAGAGAGTGTTTATTGTTATACAACCTTGTGAACAGTGTCAACCCCCCTGAATTATATACTTTCAGAGAGTGAACTTTATTGTATGTTGTTTGTATCTTAGCATTTAAAAAAAAAGTAGTACAGCTTTTGAAAGGTAGTATTGACCATTGGAATTTCTGTTAACATTTTCTTGAGTGGCTGTGGGACTTTTGATTGAAAAGTCGACGTTGGCAATCAGGTGTATGGGGGGAACACAACTAAAAGGAACACGCCAAAACAACTTCACACAACCACATGCAACCACAAAAAAAAAACAAACTTCCTCACTATCTAAACCAATCACAGGTCCTTCCAGGGAATGTGAAAATGTGGCCACAGTTATTCTCCTAGTTATTCTCCTTTTCTTTAATAGTATCTCCAATGTGTACACCCACCACAAAGCTGGATCAGCATCTCTCTCCAGACTAAAGTCCGCAGGGGTAACCTACCTTTAATATTGTTTTGTTCCTCCATCAGTAATTTACTTATTTCTGAAAACCAACAATCTCTGATTTCTTTTGAAGCTGCCTGCAATTATAGATAAGAAAATACTATGAGTATCAGATCACCCTGAGTATTAATTGGATAGGGCTTTTATTCTCTGAGCAACCTTTAGAATAATGACATAGAAAATAACTTGTCAAGTCATGAGAACACAATAGGGAAAGAGCAGAGGAGACCTATGGGGAAGGTATGTTCTTTACCTGCAGGATGTATTTCTCAAGTCCATTTTGGTTGGCAATTTCAAACTTTTTAGTGCTCCCCCTTCCAAGCTGGCGAATTGAAAGTGTCATCAACTATTGTAAAAGAAGGAAGAGAAATGTTGTATGTCACCATTTTCTGATTTTAAAATTGTCCCAGTCAGTCACTCTAATCCTTTCTATCCTTGACAGCTCTCTTCTTCCATCTTCCTTCCAAGTGTTTTACTTTCCTGTTAGTGGCTCCAAGGGAGCATAAAACACAATCTGGCACCATGTTGTCTGTCTTGTTTGTTTCAGAAGGTAACACAGACTATATCTTTTCATAAAGAGAGTGGTAGATCTCAACTTTTAAGTGAAGAGATCATCTCTCCTTTAGTACCTATTTCACAAATCTCTATGTAATAGTAACTGAATGAGTATCCATTTAGAGACATAAATAGCAAAGGCTACTATGAATAAATTAATGGCTTTAATCAAAAGAGCATAAGTGTTTGTGTTTGTGTGTGTGTGTGTGTATATCTCATAGGTAGGTGGCTATGAAACATTTCCTATACAGGTGAGAAACAATTATGCTTGGGGTAGACATGAGTCCCTAGACTCCCAGGGTCAGGATACTGCCTAGACTTAAACACAAAGATGTGCAGTTGAGAAGGGCAAGTCTGAGATGAAATCCAGCCCATGCTCTAATCGCCAAGTCTTTCACCCCTCTGCCTGGAGGAAAGAGGGTGCTTAGTTTGTCTAGATAGGCTACCATAAGGTCCCTTTTCTTTACTTAGCACAAAGGCACCTCTATGCCAGCCCTGGCTCTGCCTACAACCGATTACAAGCCCTGACTCTAGACTCAGACAGACCTGGATGTGGAGTCTAGCTCTGTTGTGTGATATTTGGCAAGTTCACTTGACCTCTCTGAGATTCAGCTTTCTCATCTATGCTGAGGATCTCTCTCTCTCCCCCTCTCCCCCTCTCTCCACTGGGTTGTGGTGACTCTCAGATACCAGAGGACTTCCTTTACCTTCATAGACTTCTTAAAGCTGTAATGAGGAGATTGCCCCTGGTCACCAGGCTCCACGTGTATCTTACAGAATACTATTCCCCTTTCAAAGAGATAGATTTGCCTCTGGCTGGGCTTAAATCGAATAAAATCCTTCATTTTATAACGGTCCTTGTGGATTGTCCAGACGCTGAAAGGGCCGTGCATCAACATCTTGCCCAGTTTTCCGATATCACCCTTCCAGAGACACAGACATACAGAAAAAGCTGTTAAATTACTTGACAGAGAAAGAATACTTTGGAATCTTTTTTCATATAAAACATGCTTACTTGAGGTTTACAATTCCAAAAGTACCACTTGGGCTAATCTGTCACTAAATCAAAACTATAGTTTTGTGAGCATCACTGGGCAAGGCACCATTCTCGGTTACGTAAGAAAATCAGTTCAACTAGACAAGGTAATAGACAAAGGATGTTAGAGATACTTAAACTAAAGATATTTTAGTTCGTGTATTTTATCTCTGTATTGTAATTACTTTTAGCTAGCAAAATTCCATTTCTTTTTCTTTGTGCTTGATATATGACAGCCTACTTAAAAAGGGCAAGAAGTTAACATTTTAATTCTGCTCAGGAGAGACAGAATAGTTGCTGCGTTATGGAGCTATGATAATCCATGTTTCCATCTGCATCCTAACATCTGCTTCAGGTACATGAGAACCTGAGTACATGAGGTTTGTTCTGAAAGGAGAAAACTTTGAGTGACATAATCTTCATACATTGTGATAGAAACAGTAATTTCATTTTTCACTGTGTTTCTCAGAGTGGGTGGACATACAAAGATAACCCCAAATGACAGATTTTTTTTTTTTCAAAAAAAGTCTATTTGACTCTAGGATACACATTGTGATGTTTCTTCCTCCACCAGCAAGCCTGCCTCTCTCATATGCCTGGCTCACAGTACAGATGAGATGACCATTCCTTCTCTGAGCTCTCTCCAAAGGGCAGGAGAGTGAGATCAGTTCAGAGCATGGTATTTTATTTGGCGTTTTTAAAAAATTAGATCACTTAGAGCAGATGACCAAAAATTCATTTCCCTGAATCAAAATATCAAAAGGGCAAATTATTTGAATAGGACCATGACAAAGAAATCTCCCTGAGTTATATCTTGCTGAGATCAATCCCTACTGTTTCTGAGAAATACGTACTTTATTTATAATTGGTTGGAAATCTTAATAATTTATTATTTATATATTGAACAAACTCTAAATATCTTTTATTGATTTTATTAAAATTTTTAGTTTTTATTATTTTTTTATTTCAGCATATTATGGGGGTACAAATGTTTAGGTTACGTGTGTTGCCTTTCCCTACCTTCCCCCACAGAGTCAGAGCTTCAAGCAAGCATGTCCATCCCCCAGATGGTGTGCATTGCACTCATTATGTATGTATATACCCATCCCCTCCTCCTCCCTCCCATCTGCCTGATGCCCAATAAATGTTATTCCTATATGTTGATCCCTGAAACCAATTTGCTAGTGAGTACATGTGGTGCTTATTTTTCCATTCTTGGAAAAATTCACTTAGTAGAATGGGTTCCAGCTCTATCCAGGAAAACACAAGAGGTGCTATATCACCATTGTTTCTTATAGCTGAATAGTACTCCATGGTATACATATATCACATATTTTTAATCCACTCACGTATTGATGGGCACTTGGGTTGTTTACACATCTTTGCAATTGTGAATCGTGCTGCTATAAACATTCCAATGCAGATGTCTCAGGACACAAAATCAATACACACAAATCAGGGGCATTCATATACGCCAATAACAGTCAAACTGGGAACCAAATCAAAGACTCAACTCCCTTCACAATAGCAACAAAGAAAATAAAGTACCTAGGAATATATTTAACTAAGAAGGTAAAAGACCTCTATAGGGAGAACTATGAAAAACTGAGGAAGAAATAGCAGAGGATGTAAACAAGTGGAAAACCATACCATGCTCATGGTCGGCAGAATCAACATTGTTAAAATGTCTATACTACCCAAAGTGATCTACAGAGTCCATGCAATCCCTATTAAAATACCATTGTAATTTTTCACAGATATAGAAAAAATTTATTTTATGCTTCATATGGAACCAGAGAAGACCCCATATAGCAAAAACAGTCCTAGGCAATAACAACAAAATAGGAGGTATCAATTTACCAGACTTCAAACTATACTACAAGGCTATAGTAATTAAAACAGCTTTTAACTGGCACAAGAACAGGGACATTGACCAGTGGAACAGACCAGAGAACCCAGATATATAAGCATCCTCATATAGCCAGCTAATCTTTGACAAAGCAGGCAAAAACATACACTGGGGAAAAGAATCCTTATTCAATAAATGGTGCTGGGAAAACTGGATAGCCACATGTAGAAGACTGAAACAGGTCCACACCTTTCACCTCTCACAAAAATCAACTCATGCTGGGTAACAGACTTAAATCTAAGGTGTGAAACTATTAGAATTCTAGAGGAAAACATTGGAAATACATTTCTAGACATTGGCCTAGGAAAAGAATTTATGAAGAAGACCCCAAAGGCAATCACAGCAACAACAAAAATAAATAAATGGGACCTGATCAAATTAAAAAGCTTCTGCACAGCCAAAGAAACTGTTAAGAGAGCAAACAGATAACCTACAGAATGGGAGAAAATTTTCGCAAGCTACACATCTGGTAAAAGGCTGATAACTAGAATCTACTTAGAACTCAGGAAAATCAGCAAGAAAAAAATCAAACTGCCCTATCAAAAAGTGGGCAAAGGACATGAATAGAATCTTTTCAAAAAAAGACAGAATAATGGCCAAAAAACATATGAAAAAATGCTCATCTCTAATCATCAGGGAAATGCAAATCAAAACCACAATGAGATATCACTTATCTCCAATGAGAATGAGTTTTATCAAAAAGTCCCAAAACAATAAATGTTGGCGTGGATGTAGAGAGACAGGAACACTTCTATACTGCTGGTGGGACTGCAAACTAGTTCAACCTCTGTGGAAAGCAATATGGAGATACCTTAAAGAGATACAAGTAGATATATGATTTGATCCAGCAATCCTATTACTGGGCATCTACCTAAAAGAACAAAAGACATTCTATAAAAAAAAAAAAATATTTTTTTAGATGAGGGTTAGCTGTGCTGCTGAGGCTGGTCTTGAACTCCTGGCATCAAGTGATCCTCCCACCTCAGCCTCCCAAATTGCTGGGATTACAAGCATAAACCACCATGCTGGGCCATGAATATCTTTTTGGAAAGAATTGACTATACTTCTGAAAGTTTAAAATAAAAACTTCAAGTCATTTCTATGGCGTTTGTGGCAGTATTTTCTATGCTAATTTTCTTTTTCTTTTCTTTTTTTTTTTTTGAGACAGAGTCTCACTTTGTTGCCCAGGCTAGAGTGAGTGCCATGGCATCAGCCTAGCTCACAGCAACTCCTGGGATCAAGCGATCCTTCTGCCTCAGCCTCCCGAGTAGCTGGGACTACAGGCATGTGCCACCATGCCCGGCTAATTTTTTTGTATATATATTAGTTGGCCAATTAATTTCTTTCTATTTATAGTAGAGACGGGGTCTCACTCTTGCTCAGGTTGGTTTCGAACTCCTGAACTCAAACGATCCGCCCGCCTCCTCGGCCTCCCAGAGAGCTAGGATTACAGGCATGAGCCACCGTGCCCGGCCTATGCTAATTTTCTTTTTATGCTTTGGAAAACGTACATGTATAAACTGGTGAATAAAATCTCACTGAGGAGTAAAGACCCCCAAGCCATAAGGCCTTCTTTCCTAAAAGCATGATGTTCCTGCTCTGTATTACACAGGCTTGGCTTGACCACGTTCCAAGACAGATGGGTGGATAGGTCCATGAGGACTCTTGAGAAGTTTTTCACTCCGTCCTTCAAGGACCCACTCAAATGTAATCACTACAGCCCTCAGTGATTTCTTTCTCTTTTAAACCCATTCAATTTGTACTCAGATATAAATAGTGCAGAAGATTTTTTCAAAGCAACTAGTAAAAGTAGGGGCTTAATACTTGACACATGGACAACTGTCATCAGTACAGGTTGAACACCCCTAATCTAAAAATCCAAAATCTGAAATGTTCCAAAATCCTAAACGTTTTGGGTGCCAATATGATGCCACAAGTAGAAAATCCCACACCTGATCTCACGTGGTGGGATGCAGTCAAAACTTTGTTCCATGCATAAAACTATTAAAAACTATCAGCCCCATCTCTGTGTAAAATTACCTTCACTCTATGTATATAAGATATATAGGAAATATAAATGAATTTCATGCTCAAAATTGGGTCCTATTCCCAATATGTTTTATGTATATGTAAATATTCCAAAACCCCCCAAAATCCAAAATACTTCTACTCCTAAGCATTTTGGATAACCTGTAGTTTCTATTAATATTTTAAAACATTTTTATACTCTACCTCATTTAAAACATTTGACACATTTTACACAAATATATACAGTAAAGGCAGACAGAAAATAACTGAGGAAATTAGGGTGATTAAAGAATAAAGAAGCTATCATGGTGGCTTGTGCCTGTAGTTCTAGCTACTTGGGAGGCTGAGGCAGGAGGACTGCTTGAGGCCAAGAGTTCGAGACCAGCTGGGGCAATGTATTGAGAATGTGTATCTTTAAAAAAGATTTAAAAAAAAAAAAAAAAAGAAGAGGCTCTATGTAAAATCCATACATTACTGCCATGTAAACTTGTTGCAGACTTGGCTCTGACCTCCAAGTAGGCAATACAGAAGGAAACACAGGTGAATTATAGGATTCATTATGTCTGAAGACATACTCAAACCAGTTGTTCAGGAAAGATACAGCTATTTCTAATAATCAGACAAAAGAAAGTTTTCTCCTGCAGGAGAAAGGGTCACTGAGCAACATCCTCAACCACATCTACGACAGATAGAGGAACATATTTCAGGTAAAGCTGCTCAGAAGAACACATTTGGCCAATGTGGAGGCATCACTTCATAGCGAGTTGTAAGCAGCAATTCCAAAAGAGGCCAGGAGGATGGGGGAGGGGAACAAGTGCAGGTATGCACTCTCTAGTGACCTGCTGAAGATGGGCGATGTTGGCTAAGGTGTCTGTCAAGGCCATGGGCTGTTGTAGAAGAAACCACCTTGACCACAGCCCTGCAGAAGAGGCAGCCTTGGGCAGCAAGGC